CAACTTCGTGCTGATAACGTGTTGTAAAGAAAGCTCAGAATATAAGAAGAAAAAGACAAGAAGTATAAGATAGAGGAGATAATTTTCTTATTCAAGTATGTATTACAAAAGGTGAATGATATCTCTATTTATAGAGTTGAGATATCACCCCAAAAGCCCCCATGATAAATGTCCAATTAGTAGGTACATAGTTATCCAAATGATTCTTATCACCTTGGAAACATGTATACATGAATACAATTAAGTCTTGAGTAAATCTAAAGGACAATCCACACAATTCAATAGGATTTATAACAGTTCCATCATTATCCCTCATTTTCTCTTAATCCAACTATGTTTTTCAGATCTGTTCTTTTAGATATATATAAAAAAAAAAGTTGAAACAACAAATCATTTCTCCTTCAGTTTTTTTATTTGTATCCTCTTTTTTCTGTCTCAGATTCATGCAAAAGTTGAACATAAGTCAACAATTAATGTTGGAGTTGAGCTATTTCAGCGAACGAAAATCAATTTTGATAAAAGAATTGTGAAACTGAATCCTTCAATTTTTTATCACTTATATATTAGTGTAATTTTGCATCAACATTATTCATTTTCTCGTCTAAAACATTCAATGAATAATGATGGAATTGTGCTATTTCAATGAATAAATAATTCACTGAAGAGAAATTTTGAAAATGCTCTGTTTGGAACTAAATCCATCTCAATTTTGTCTCATTTATCATGTTTTTATTTTGGTGTTTAATTAAAGGAATTAATTCACAGTAATACTTTCATTCATTTTCGAAAAGGTAGTACTTTCATTCACACGATGAACATATTATAAAACTTACTTCGATGAACATATTATAAAACTTACTTCAAAATAAAAGCAATCACAACGGAAGACACTAACTTTTGACCAAATTTAAAATTTTTTATATCATTTAAATATTTCAAAATCTAATTTAAATATTTTTGACTTTTATCTTACTCTATTAAGTTTATTTTAAAATATTTAAAAGCAGCAAAAGAATCACTTTTTAAGGTACGTTTTATTTTCGATTGTTTAAAAAAAATGAAAAGTTATAAAAAATATATATTTTTATCTAAATTAATTTAAATAAATAAGCTAGTATTTCTTATTTGTAATTTATATTAGCTACTCAATTTTTTATTGGTTTAAAAGTATTTAAATATTATATTATATTATAATTATGAAAAATAAAAATAAAAACCTAAAACTACCCCATAACCCATTCTCCACTACCCCACACAACCCACTCCCCTCAACTACAAACACGTACCACACAATATTAACATTAACAACACATCCCCACTTTCCCCTATACAATGCACACACTACCAAAATAAAATAAAATACAATACACAAAAACACAACAATACACACAATCTCCACACAGATTTGGCACAACAAAAAAACACGAGCAAACAAACAAAAAAAACTTTCACATCTCTTTTATTTTCTTTCAAAAATACATCAACTCATCCATATTTTTTTATTTCTCATTTCTTTCATATAAATACAACACATACACCATTACATGCAATTTGCAAAAAAAATCGCGGGTGTTCTAATTAAGGTTGATCAAAATTTTGCGGTACTTATTTTCTTTATTTAAGATTCTACTTTGTGTTTTCTTTTTAATTTAATCATGAAATTTGACGTAATTTATGATAAATTTTCTTATATTTTATTCATGAATTGAAATGATTAATCTGTTAGTTATTATATTTCTATTTCATGAATAAAGATAACTTAGATCGATAATTATTTATTTATTTTTATTTGTTGATTGTGATCTCTTAAAATGAACGGGTCATAGCATTGTTCTTGTCTTCATTCAGATAATAATGATAAAGTAGAAATAGTTAGGCTAATTTCTTTAAAAATAAATTAATATTATTAATATAAAATAAAAGGATATAGAAGGGATGTAAGAATTATATATTGAATCCTCAACATTTAGATTTATTTTACTTTGTTTGATTTAATGTATAAAGGAAAAAATAAATATTTTTTAATGAGTAGATGAGTTATACGACCTGTTAAAAAATGTTAGTCTCAACTAAGAATGTGATTACACATCTTTATTTTCAAACATTAAAATAAACTCAAGGATGCGGTGATGAAGTGTGATGAAGATAAGACAGTTATGTCTCCAAATGCCAAAATCAAGAATGCAGTTACACATCTAAATTGAAATCAAATAAAAGTTCAAAAATAAATATAAATGCGAACAACCCATTGCCTGAAAATATTATATCAAAAAAATTTTAAGTTAATTATAAGAGCATGTTTGAATGGGCTTAAAAGCTGATCAAACTGATTTAAAAGTCAGTTTTTGACAATTATCAAAGTGACTTATTTAAGTTAAAAATGACTTATTTAAGTCAAAAGCTAAAAGGTAGGTGAGGGGTGTTTTTTTTTCCCCAACTTAATAGTCATTTTATGTTGACCAAGTATGTTACCTTTTTGCCCTTAATTCTTTTTTTATTATTATTATTATTACTATAATTAACCATAATAATATTAATATTAATATTAATATTTTTGTTATTATTATTTATTATTATTATTATTATTACTATTATTATTATTATCATTATAATTATTTATTTTATTATCATTATTATTATTTTTATTTTTATTTTTTTAATTATTATTTTTTTTATCATTGTTGTTGTTGTTGTTGTTGTTCTAAAAAAATTGTGATGATAAAGAAATATGTGAATAATAGGAAATATTATAACTTATGGATGTAAAATTAAATTAATTTTTTTTAAATTTTTTTAAGTATAAAAACCTTAAATTAATCAACTTTTATCACGTTTACAATTTTAATGGTATTTCAGACATTTTGATAAAAAAAAAGTATACGAGCACTTATTTGACAAACACATCAACAACTTTTTTTCAACTGAAACACTTTTATCCAAACACATAACTACTTATTTTAAAAATAAATTTCAGCACTTTCAAACTATTTTTAAAAGTTGCTTTTTTAAAGCCCATCCAAACGGGCTCTAAGTCAATAACAGCGAGTGTGTTAGAACCACGGGACTCGAGGGATGCCTAATACTTTCCCCTCGATCAAGAGAATTTCTTACCCAAATTTCTAGTTCGCAAATCAAATAACGAGTCATTTCCTTTTGATTATGGATTAAACAAATAGGTGACTTCGAACACTACAACTCAATTTCCAGTGGCGGCTCTGAACAAATAAAAAATCATTTAATCAATACGTCACTTCAATAGAAAAAATCCTTCATCCGGAGCGAAAAAAGGGGTCCAACATTTTTTCAGTTGTATATCACTCACAAAGAGTCTTTGCCAGATCCAAACATGTCTTCCACCTGATTCATTTAATCTATATATCTTAGTTCATTTCAAAGTTTGAGTTTTACAAATTGCTTGTATATAATATATGATTAACTTATGAGCGAAAGCGAAGAAGTGACTTGACCACACCTTCAAATAAGGTTGGTGATCAAAACAACCGATCAAATCCCTGGCCTCAGTATGTGGCTGAAGCATATGAAAATATGTGACATCTTGTTCATCCTTATCAGAGAGTTTCAACATCTGTACATACATAGAAAATATAAGTCATCAGATTTTTTTTGTGAGGAGATGAAAACAAAATGATACCTGAATGTCTCTTTCATTTTTAGATGAAAGAATATTTGTACCATAAATCGTAATGACAGGATGATTCTCTGTTGGAGGATATGAAATAAAAGCGAGAGCTAGTATGACGGAATCATTTAATCGTAGAGGACGATAAAATATTTTAGTAGATGGATCCCACTAGTTGGAAGCCATCATAAAAAGTCGTGATTGGCTTGATTTTTTCCAATTAAAATCTTGGAAACTTATCCACGCTTATAGTGAATTTTCAAGAGAAAAGTGAGCCACCGGTTCAAGTACAAGATACTATCATTACCGCCTGGACAATTAGACATTCAACCCTTAATCGCAGCGACCCAATTGCAAGAGATTCATTAGCAAACCAGGTATTATTAGAATCAAATGGGTATAAAACCCTTTGAGACCAAAGAATACCAGGGGAAAAGAACCCATCTTGAATGGAATGAATTTTATTCACATTAAAGATGAACGCTGCTATCTCATGCTTTAAGTTCACAAAGATATTGTGTTCTTTAACATATTTAGCCGCTGCTCCGTCTACAACATCATCCACCGAATATTGAAACCGGCGAACAAAGTTGTCGAGTAATGGAGTACTTTTCCAAGTAGGTTTCCAATTCATACCCTTTTCAAGAGGCATGGATTGGAGATGTGGAAGATACATTGGTCGAAGCTTCTTTCAAGAAGTTTTTATTTCTCCAAGAACTTCACGGACACTATCAATATCTGAGTGAGGAGTCGTAATTGATTGGAAAGTGACTTTCTTCACTTTAGGAGCCACTGCAATCTATTTTGATAATCCAAACCAAGATAGATATATCCTGACCAAATAATCACCATGATCAGGCTTTGCCCTTACGTGTTTTCGTAATACCGCAGGTATGATCTTGGAAATTCCATATCGGGTCAATGAAACTGGAACAGACATGGTGTCATTCTTAGAATAACACCCAGCGTAATAACGCTAAAGGGAAACTGTACACTGTTTTAAATACAAAATAGTATACAGAAAACCTGAACGTCGTTTCAGTTTCACAACTGTTTTTATGAAATCGCTGCCCGCTAGGGCGTTATTGACCATATAATAAAAGCAGATCTTGGTCCATGGAGTCCCAAGAAGGTAAGAACTCCAACCTTTCCGATGCTTCTTCGGCCAAATACGATATACAAGTGGGACCTGCACTATGAGCAAGCTGTGTGAAAAAACACTTCTTTTTCCGATTCCGAAACAACTTGGGCGAAATAGGGTTCTACCTGCCGCCCCCTACTTGCTCATTCGCAATTACTACCACAAGAAAGTCGCCCCTATCTCTAAAGGGGCTTATGCACTCCACGACTTTCATATGTTATGGGGTCTCGAAGACTGAATTTAGCTGCTTTATTTATATTTTTTCTAAGGAACTATTTGTTATCCCATTTAGGGATTTTGTGTTCTCAACTTCTCTCTGGGATTTTGATTTTAAGTGTCGGGGGATCATTTCCTCTTCCGGGCCCTTCTGGGCAAGCAAGCGGGGCTGAGTTTGAAGAGGATCATTTTGGGATTGATGTCCTCTTGGAATCATGGGAAAAATCTACGGAGACGGGCATGTTGGTGGATCAGCCAGAACCAGAACCAGGACATGTGCCGCCTGCTATTCAAGTAGCTCCCCGAGCGAACGAAGCTGGTCCACCAAATCAGCCCCCACGAGTGGTCCCCTATCCGTATCAACTGGATGAAGTGATAGGGGGGATTCCGTTCAGTCTATCCAGCGAAGGCTCCTAGCCAAATACTCCTATACTCCTCCTATCGGGATCATGTACCTGACCGAAATAGAGGCAAAAGACCTATTCGAGGTCAAGGTCGAGATTCTAAGGATCATGGCGGTCTTTGATCAAATGGAGGATTGGATGGGACGGGGAGCTCGGGCCCTCGTGCACCTGGACTATAGAGCTTCTCACCCACTAAAAAAAGAAGAGGTCGGGGAGGATCGATACACTTTGTTGTCCATCCCATGGACAACTCCTTCCTCTTAGGGCTGCAGGGAGTTCGAGGCGGCTCCAACCAAAAGTAGGAAACTGGGCGAAGTAAAGTAATCAAAGAGGAAGTCAGTGCTAGTAGTAAGGACTTGTCACAATCCATTGGGGCACATAGAATCTATGTCCTAGGTGTAGACGAAGACCAAGAGTTCTTTAAGATCTGATTCGATGGTATATCCCTCTTCTATTGTTCTTAGACAGATCTCTCACTCTTGATGAAGAAAAAGACTTCAGCTTTAAAGATCCGATCTCGTCTTCACTCACTGATTCCTTTAATAAGAGAAATGCCCGGAATGCTTGGTACCCTTTTTCTTGCTACTGGTTTATTCCCCTCCCACTTCTGCTTTCCTCACTCTCCGGCTTGCTTGCGTAGTAAAAAGAAAGAAAGCGTCTTTGGCAGATGGAATACGAGATCTAGGCAAGCCTTTCCTCCTTTGTTAACTTAAAGGCTATGTAGAATCCAAGGTTTCGCTTCATAATACCAGTCATGAGTTCCGGCTATCGCTCCAAAGTGATAGCGCCATTGAAAGATAGAGTGTCAAACAGTCAAACTTCGATACCTAAATTCATTTATCCAAAGGCTTTTCCATTCCCTGATCCGTGCCTCCTTGCTTTAACTAAGACTTTTTGAATAGTGGCTTGGCTGGCTTTCGAGTTGGGAAAGATAAGAAGAGCTTGACCGATCCATTCTGAAGGAAAGAAGCACACTGCTTAAGATATAAAGCGCAGTGCAGCCACCCCGACTTCTGTCCTTTCCCTAATAACAGACCTGGATAACAGGTAAGCTCCAATAAATAGTTCCTTGGTTAGACTGTCAGTGATAATGAGAAGAACCTTCTTAAGATAACCTCCTCAAGGAACTTTTGGCATCACTACTTTATGGCAAGCTTACTGAGTATCCACCACATCCCTTTCCAAAGATTCATTCTGATTGATTTTTGCCATGAACTCTCTTGGCAAAGTCAGGATCATCTTGCAATCCACCTTATTCGGTAAGTTACCTAATAGAACTTGAAACTTTGGCTCATTTTCTTTATTCTTTAATCTGGGTCTAACTGCTTGATTCACCAACCTTCAAGTCTTCCCCCATCAGGTCTTCTTCCGGAACCAAGCCTTCTGAAAGAAAGCTCATCAAAAAACTCCGTTGACGAGGCCTATCCATTCTCCAACTTCTTGTGGTCTTTCCCAACCTTACCTTCTACTGGGTACTTTACCATTAGACCAACATTCTGTTTCTTCTCTACTTCAGTCTGTATTTTCAATTCCATTACCTTCTTCCTCAGCATCCTCCTTTTCTGGGTCCTTGTCAGCTTAGATGATTTCTACTATGCTGGACTCTCTCCTACAGCGTCCTTCTCAAGTCTCGATTTCTGTGCGGCATGAACCCACTGATCAGTTGGTGGGACAATAGACGGTGTTTGAAATAACTATTGTTTATTCAAAATCTCATAAGAGAAGAAAGCTTTTAATGTGGGTCGGCGTACAGCCCACTCCATTCTATCTATGACGCATCGGATCAACTGAGAGAAATCCTGAGTAACGAGAGAGATTCTCCACACGAACGAACGACCCGCCAAGTTCGAACTGACATAGGTGAATCGCCCCTAGGTATTCTCTACTTACCCACCTGTGTCAGTTTCGGGTACAGGTACCCTCTTGTTTAACGTCGTTCGAGCTTTTCCTGGGAGTATGACATGGGTTACTTCAGCGCCATAGCGCCTGGTATTCGAATATTGGATCGAGGCATTTTCTCTGCCCCTTCTTACTCTGAAAAAGCAGGGACACCTTACATTCTTGAATCGATAACCATCTTTCGGCTAACCTAGCCTCCTCCGTCCCTCGAGACTAACAAGGGGTAGTACAAGAATATTCACCTGTTGTCCATCGACTACGCCTTTCCTGATCTTAGGCCCTGACTCACCCTCCGTGGACGAACCTTGCGGAGGAACCCTTAGGTTTTCGGGGCATTGGATTCTTACTAATGTTTGCGTTACTCAAGCCGACATTCTCGCTTCCACTTCAGTCATTGAAGTACCAAAGGCGCGCTCAGCCCAATGACTAGGAAATGAGTTTGCCCTTGAATTGAAGTGATGAGATAAGAAAGAGGGAAGTAGGGCTCGTATTGACTAAAGGTGACCATTATTTTCATATTCGTAATAGTGTGAAAAGAAGGCCCGGCTCCAAGTTGTTCAAGAATAGTGGTGTTGAGTTTCTCAACCCTTTGACTTAGGATTAGTCAGTTCTATTTCTCGATGAGAAGGTAGTCTAGGACTACCCTAAGCCTAGAAAAGAAGTAGGCAGGACTTTCAGTTACAATGTCTAGGTTGGAAAAGCCACCTTTTGCCTTTCTAAAGCCAATCGATTATCGGATTTCACCAAGCCAACCATGTGTTTTGCCCAAGGGCGATGATAGCATTGCTAGGCCCAATGTCGTCTGACCATGAGTGCAGTCGAAGGGCGATGATAACATGTCATGCTTGATGTCGTCCTACTGTGTGTGCTTTCCAAGGGCGATGATGGAATTCGACGCCCGACATCATCCGTACCTGTGTATGCTGCCCAAGGGCGATGATGGCCTACCACGCCCTACGTCATCCTTTGATTGTGTATTGAATATAGATCCATGTCTTTCTTGTTCCATTAGCTAAGACCAAATTCTCACATGTCCCATTCGTCATTCCAACCTTCTTTTTTTCATATTTCCTGTAGAAAGCATATGTTCTTTGATCGCTAAGATATTTCGTAAAACTCTGTATGGATCCTCAATCACCAATCCTTGCATGAATATGGGTTGTGCTCGAGAGGCTATGAATCGATTGGACCTGCCAATCGAATGAATCGTAATACTCGTAATGATCGACTTTACAAAGATTCCATTGGATTCCGGAAGCTCGTAGCATTGGTCCAGCACAATTCCCAAACTTAAGAAGCTGGGGGCGTGCCCGCCGGCCCCTGACCTGCCTCTGATTACTGAAAGTGAATTCGTTTTCAATTATCCCAAGCCGGCCTATCATTCATTGGTTATGGTTAGGGAAAAAAGCTAGCTGGAAGTGATCTCTTCTTCTCAGTGAAAGCTAAAGGCCCTGGTATAGTAGAAGTGTGGTGTGTGCTATCTTTATTCTGTAGATGGTAGTGTTGATGTTTTCATTTATTTCTACAATCTAAAGTGTGATAAACAATCTCTAAAAACTAAGTTTATGCATTTAATAGATATCTTGTTTTAAGCTCAAAATAGTTTAATATGCAATATAAATAAAAAGTTTTACATAATGTCCCCTTTTTTTAGAAGAAAATGAAGAGATCCTAGTGGTCTAGATTAATTCTATTACATAAGTCACATCATAAAAATTAGTCTATTTTTTTTTATCAAATACTATCTTCATCTCATTTTATGTGGTAACATTTGATCGGACACATAAATTAAATAATAATGAAGACTTTAATATGTTAATCAAATTGCCCTACAAACAAGTAAACTGACCATTTTCTTCTTATAAATATATTAGAGCACTATTTTTCAGGCAAAACAAAGGCTCTTAACATTTCTTCGCTGAAGAATAATCAAAATTTAAGCTTTGTTATATTGAATTTTACTTAATTTTATTTATTGGATATATTGTGTCCCCTTTTTTATAAGAAAATGAAGAGACCCTAGTGATCTAGATTAATTATATTACACAAGTCATATCATAAAAATTAGTCTATTATTTTTTATCAAATACTCTCTTCATCTTATTTTATGTGGTAACATTTGATCGGACACAGAGATTAAATAATAATGAAGACTTTAATATGTTAATCAAATTGTCCTACAAACAAGTAAACTGACCTTTTTCTTTTTATAAATATACTAGAGTACTATTTTTCAGGCAAAAAAAAGGTCTGACATTTCTGAAGACTCCGTTGAAGAATAATCAAAATTTAAAATTTGTTATATTGAATTTTACTTGATTTTATTTATTGGATATATTGTGTTTAATGACCTAACAATTTCCCCTTCTTTTAGAAGAAAATGAAGAGACCTTAGTGGTGTAGATTAATTATATTACACAAGTCACATTATAAAAATTAGTCTATTTTTTTTATCAAATACTCTCTTCGTCTCATTTTATGTGGTAACATTTGATCGGACACAAATATTAAATAATAATAAAGACTTTAATATGTTAATCAAATTGCCCTACAAACAATTAAACTGACCTTTTTCTTCTTATAAATATATTAGAGTACTATTTCTCAAGCAAAAAAAAAAGCTCTAACATTTCTGAAGATTCCGCTGAAGAATAATTATAATTTAAGCTTTGTTATATTGAACTTAATTGATTTCATTTATTGAATATATTGTGTTTGATGACCTACTAACTTTAGTAGGAAAAATCATTTCGAATGATCGTGAAAAGAGGTCTGACATTTTTGGCGAGTTCGCTGGGGAATAACCAAAATTTGAGTTTTATTATATTGAATTTTAATTGATTTTCATTTATTGGATATATTGTGTTTGATGGCCTAATGTAATATTTGGTACTCATTTATTGTCTTTATAATATATAGGTCCATTATAAGGATTAATTAGTTAATCAATTAGGTGAAAGTCGTTTAAATCTTAAAAATTGAATAAAAGTAACCTATAATATTTATGAGGTTAAACATTGTTTTCTCAATAGTTATAAATATTTTACTTTTACACATTAGTTCAAGAACTATAATAGTTGTGGGATTATCTTATTTAGTCGTTCGACAACTTTC